ACCGAATTAAAGCCTTGCAGTGTTTTTGGCCAAATAAGGAGAAGCGAGTGATATGAATAATGCCTGGCAGGATTTGGGAGCTCTCAGGGTTAGGTTAGCAGTGTTGAGCTGAGGGCGGATCCTTACCACTGTGTGCTCTTCTCCGATGGGCATCAGTTACAGCAGCTCCAAACCTGCAGAACAGAAGCATTTTAAAAGTGTGTCTGTCTTCAAAGTGAAAAGAATCAATTGTACTTTCTACTATTTTAGAACATACTAAATTCTGTACAACCTTAATATATTTGCTAGTTTTACTTGTATTTACTTTTTTGTTTATTATTATTAATATTATTATTATTATTATTATTATTATTATTATTATTATTATTATTATTATTATTATTATTATTATTATTATTATTGAAACAGAACTCTTAAACAACCCACTAAGAAGAATATGACAGACAGCTTTGGTAGTGATGGGAGCCCTTATAAGAGGTTATCAAAACGTTTTGAGTCCAGCTGCTATTTTTAGATCCCAATGCAGAAGTCCTGTTATGGACCCTTTGTACTTGTGCCTCTGTGAGGAGTGCTGGATCTCCTCGTGTGTGTCAAAATGGCGATCCTTCATTTTGATTTCCAGTTTTGGGAATAAAGTTGCCTGAAGACAAATCAAAAACAAACCAAAAAACACAGGCTTGCTTCCGGCCTCGTTCATTACCTGAAATTCTGCATCCAGGCTTGGAAACTATCGACTCATCTGAAAACTGTGGAAAACTGCCGAGGCTTCACTGGAGAACCAACTCATCATTAGTAATGATCCTTCACACAAAATTTGTGTCAGTTTGAAACAACATAATGTCTGCTCTCTGCACAAGTTTGAGGACCATTGTGAAATCGCAAAGCACAAGATCCCGACCCTGTCCCAACTAAACAATTGTCATAAAACCTTTTTTCTCTCCATTCTGAGGTGCAGACTCCTTAATTTGCAGTCTCAATTGCTGTTTTCTGATAGCACCTATGCTGGATTAGAGCCAAGTGTCACGGTGGAGTGTGTATGGAGGACCCAGGTGCGGACACAGGCGAAGGAACAGAATTAATACTAACAAATGGCGAGCCTTTATTTCGGCTGATATACATGAAACATAAATCAAAGCGAGAAAACAAACTAGACTGTGAAACTATGATTCAACTAAGACACTATGAACTGGGCTAGGATTTCTACAACAAGGGTAAGATCCACATACAACACAATGCTGAGCACACGAAGACTGAGGACTTTAATACACACATGAGGTGATCAGGGGAAGTGGAGACACATGAGGACACAGCTGACTCGAATGAAACAGGGGGGAGTAAAACTAACCACATGAACACAGAACACAAGACCCTTTTCAAAATAAAACAGGAAACATGGAGACTTACACATGACAACACAAGCTTAACAGACCTAAAACACATGACGGTCTAGACAAGGAACGACACACAGAAACCAAGGAGACAGCTGATAAGTAATCGTTAACCTAAACCTCCACTAAACCCGAAATAAGAATAACACACAAACTTATAATCACCAAACTAAAATGAGAACTTCAAAATTACAAAATAAGACCCAGAGACCCAGCCTGTGACATCAAGCTTGGTCGACAGCATGATCAACCTTTCAAGTACGGACACTCGTCATCACTGAACAACATTGTTTTAACTAATAGAAGTAGTTGACAACGCCCTGCGACAGACTGGCGACCTGTCCAGGGTGTACCCTGCCTCTCGCCCTATGACAGCTGGGATAGGCTCCAGCGCCCCCCGCGACCCTGAAAAGGATAAGCGGAAGCGAATGGATGGATGGATGGAAGTAGTTGACAACTCTCCAAGAAATACGCTAGTTTTTCCGTCTTATATAGGGTTTTTCAGCAGTACAGTATATATGAGTAAAATAACTATTATGAACAGATGATTCCTCAGATGCCTTGCCCAAATTCTAGACCAAGTGGTTTTGCTTTCAAAAAAAAAAAACGTGTAAAGATCAATAGACAGCATCCTGAAAACTCTTGAAAACAATCAGGCATTTTCAAAGGAGCTTGCAAAGAAAAGCGTCTGGACTTCTTTAAGTTGCTTGAAGACGTTTCACCTCTCATCCGAGAAGCTTCTTCAGTTCTAAGGTCAAATGGTGGAGAGTCCCAGATATAAACCTAGTGGGAGTTTCCCCCCACAGAGGGACAAAAGGACCCCCTGATGATCCTCTAATCGCCTGAGCCAAGGTGTGAAACTGGGTGTGGGTCCAAATCAGGCAGAGTTTCGGGTGTGTTCATTGTGAAACCTGGCCCCACCTTATCAGGCTCAGGCGATTTGCAAGCTCCTTTGACTACGATGACCTGGATGACTGAGAACCTTCACAGACAATCAGGCATTTTATCTTTTCTGCCCAATTTTTAACAATATCCTTGATAAACCTCTTCTACTTCTTTTTTTTTTTTTGATAAAATAACATTTCAACCCTTAGTTCTCAGTCATCTCATAAAGCTGCCAAAAACCGTCTGTCATGTTATTGTCCAGATTTTACACATATGTTACTGTATTAGACTATTGTAAGCCAAAATCTAGTTTATATATATTATATATATTATATCTTTGAAACATCTTTGTAACATCTTTGTAACATCTCCTTCATATCTTTGCAACGTTGTCCACTTGATTCACCTGCTTCAAAAAAAAATGTTTTGAAAATCAGTTTTACAACTAGAAGTCAGATAGATTTAAATCATCACTTCAGCTTGACTTGGAATTTGTTTTATAAGCACTGGTTGTGTACAAAAGCATCTTTAATTCTATATGTTGTCCACCAGATATACAAAACTGAAAACAAATTCTCTTTTAACTTGATAAATCATAGGGACGCCTACAGTAAACTTGGTGATCCATCCCTCCTCCACCTCAGTGCTGATCTGATCGCTAGACTTATAACTCTTATTTGTAATTTAACACTTTCTACATCCATTTTTTTTTTAAAAATATGGAAAGCTGCACAGGTCTTACTACTCGATAAAAGTAATGACCCTAGTCACTTAACTATGGAAGAGGGCCAGAGGGGCCGATGGCGTGATATGGCAGCCTCGCTTCTGTCAGTCTGCCCCAGGGCAGCTGTGGCTACAACCGTAGCTTGCCTCCACCAGTGTATGAATGTGAGAGTGAATGAATAGTGGAATTGTAAAGCACTTTGAGGGCCCCGAAAAGCGCTATATAAATGCAATCCATTATTATTATTATTATTAACTAATTACCACCCTATTTAAAACTGTTTAGTCCTAAAGCCCTAGATAATGGGCAATTAAAGTGTATAACATTTTACAGTAATAGCAGACAGGTTTTAGATCATGTCGCAGAACAATGCCTGCAGTGTGTATGTACGTAACAATAGTATGGAAACGCTTGATCATCAGTATTGTGCTGCACTTTTGATAGATCCATCAAAAACATTCAATTCAGTAGATTGTGGCATTTTATGAGAAAAAACACACAGGTAGATCTTTTTGGACTTCTTCTTTTCACCGTGTACACAAACAATGTTATCAGTGTTACCCAAAACTGTAATGTACATTTTTATGCAGACACTATTTTATATGCCACTGATTTGGCAAATCTATAGAAACAAGAAAATTACACCCAAAGATTGGATTTTTATATAAACATAAATCACTATACAATTTTGTCTGCATAAATAGGCAATTCTTTTCCTAGTCACCATTACACCTTACATGGAAAGGTGGGCTAGTACATGCTACTGGAGTGATTACAAAGTGTAGGCTGGGGCCACGAAGGTACTGCAGGTGGGCCACAGTAATAACATACCTGAATTTAAAAGTACTGAGAAGTATGTACACATACATATTTATATAAATGTATTTATATAAAATTGATTTAAAAATAGCAACAGGAGGTGATAGTTTGCGATGTTAATCATTAGTCTGGCTTAACTGTACAGCCCTTGTATTGTTTGTGTCCCAGCTGCAGGTGGGTCGTAAATTGGCTTTAACGCGTTGCATACGAGTGGGTAACATTTGCAACTGATAGCCAACAGTGTGGCCAGTGATGGCTGTCACTTTATCTTATCTTAGCCACTATTGGCTAATGTTTGGTTTATGTGTTTTTTTAAGGAAATACATCATTTTCTCCTGTATTTTGATAAGAATGAAGATTTAAGGCTCAGTGTGCCCCATGGGATTTTCTGGTATGGAAATTCCCATCCCTGGGAATGGCTGCCCTAGTGAATCAAGGAGCATTGCATGATGTTTATTTACAAGGCTCAACTGCAAAGATTGCCTGCATACCTCTGTTCCTTGACTGAATTTAAACATAGTACTTAAAATATCAGATCACAGGACCCCTTAACATTAGCTGTACCTCACACTCACACTGAACTTGGAAAATCTTGATTTAAATCCTTTGCTGTTACTTAGTTAGTTAAAAGTTGCAAAAACTATGAAACTTGACTATCTGATTTCACTGGAAAATTTTAAAGAGTTGAAAGACTTTTTCTTTTTTGTGATCACGTATGATTTGTTTTATTACATAGCTGGGTGTCTTTTTTCTGTATACATGTCTCTCTTAAAAACAGATCTTGACCTCAATGAGACTACCTGTTAAGAAGCTTGTTAATGCAAACTTAAAAATGTAATGTTTTCATTTGATGAGTAGTACAAAAGCTGATTATATAGTTATTTTTACAACCATTTTTTTCTAAAAAATGCCATTGTCACTCGCACAAACTCTGCCCATGGTTGCCGTGACCTTTTCCAGTAGACCATACCTCCTTTTGTCATTTTTTCAGCCTGACTTCCTGCTTGATGGTACACCAATGTTGCCAAAGTTGTCCTAGTCAGAAAGCATCACTACCATCGCCACTGAAGATTCACACGAACAAGCTAATTCCTTTTCTTCTTTTACCCACTCCTCCCTCACTCTTCCTCCTTCCTCCCTACCTTTCTCCCCATTTCCTCTTTATTGTTCCAAATGTTAAACAGAAGCAAGACGTTCTCAACCAAGTAAGCCTCAGCCCGGTGGGCTCTGCATGCTGTGTGGTGTCTGTGTCAGCAGACTGCATGCACATTCTGTCCACTAACATAACAATACCACGCCCTTACCGCTGCAGATGATCTGTTACACAGCCAGGGGAAAAGGCCATGGGGCTGTTGAGTTCAGTGCTAGTATGTACCCATCATATTGCTGTATCAGGGGAAGCTGTGTGTGTGTGTGTGTGTGTGTGTGTGTGTATTAACATAACACAACATAACATTTCTGTATTCAGCAATGTGACTATTACATGTTTTACTGTGTATATTTTTTGTGTATATATATCTTTCTTTACATTCTTTTTAAAGCCATTGGGCCTCCAAGCTCAAATGGGTTTTTTTTCTGGATGCAGCTTCTAGTACATCCATTCAGTCATTACTAAGCTTAAAGATGTGATGGTCAGTTGATACCACATTTACATTGAACTGTTTAAGAAAATACTGGCATGGCACTCCAAATCACGACTGTGGACTCTCATTTCAGGCCAGATCAACTAAATCTGGAAACCCGATCACATTTTCTTTTCTGTCCATGGGTGGTGGTATTGGTGTATACATGTCCATCAGTAAGTCTGTTAACATCTTTGCCCTTTCCTTTCTCACGCAGCCTATTGACTATGAGGGCTTCCAGCTCTTCATGGTGACTTATTTGGAGAATGACATACCAGAAGAGCTTTGTCAACATCTCTTTACTTCCTTCAAGAGCAAGACGGGAGGCTGTTCTCCAGATCAGTCTCGGGCAGGAACGAGCTTATTGGGTAGGCTGCTTGTGTTGTTGTCTTAAATAATACTCATCCCAGTAATATTCACCCCACGCATCTAGTGGGAATGGATGTGGGAAGTTGGGTAATACTGTTACATTATTAGAGGTAACACAGGGTAACAAACTGTGCAGATATAGGAGGTCAAGGCTGAGGATAATTGTATAATTGTGACCATGATGCCATATATGTTATTATTTGAATCTAAACCTTGACCTGTTTCCAAACATAATAAAGCTGCCATATCCCTAAATCTAACCAAATAGAGCAAATAATATATACATATATTCACTGCTTCAGGTTGGAGGACACACCATTCTAATGATGTGTAGTTCATTAGCTAGCTTCCTTCATAGCTACGAATTAGTTACCTTTCTACTTCCTAAACTGGTTGTGCTCTTTTGGCTGTCTAGCTTTAACATTAGCATTAGTTTGTAAAATCTCACCACTGTTTGTCAGTAGATTGCAGATTGCTGTGAACAGAGTTATGTTTTCTTACCCTGTCTAATTCAAGTTTATAATTCTAGCTGCAGTGGACAACATCCAGTTGTTAAGTGATGATGTATGAACCCTGCTTTTGGGTCCAAACTACTCTGTGTTTATTGAGGCTGTTGTGTTTTTAACATGTTGTAATGCTTTGCATCTTGTTAGAGTTAATCGGTGATCACTTTCTGATCACTTTCTCTCTTGGTTTTTATTTCCACTATTCATCGGCAAACACATTTTAAAGCTCAGTTTTTGAAACCATACGATGTAACTACAGCCCAGTCCCTGCAGCAGTAAATTAATGACTAACCTCGTATTGTGGATGGATTATCTAAGTTGTTCTCCTGACTGAAGTTTGGTCCGTTTACAGTATCCTGCTGTGCAATTGCATTTGTCCCTAACCATCGGGAACCCTCACGTTAACTTTTATCGAGTGGAAAGAAGTTAGCGTTCATCCTCCAGCTTCACTGTGTTCATATTATGCTAACATAGCTGTGCAGCTAGCCACCACATTGCGCATCATTATATACCAGAGTCCAACTTCAGTAACCGTACAAAGGTCACTGCTGTTTACTTTTCTGTCTTCATTTATGTTGGAAGTGATAGCAGAGCTGTACGTTTTAATTTTTTCGGAAGTCCCTCGGTCAGAACATGGTACATCATGTTTAGATTGAAACTAGCAAGCTAACTCTCTGCTGACTTCGAACCCCATTAAACTTAATAAATTCTGTTTTCGTGGATGTTAAACTTAATTTTTACACCTGGTAGAGCAGGCACACTCATCATTTTATTAAAGATAAAAGAATTTACACAGTTTGTAACTGTGATGCAACAGTATTAATTTGACTTATTAATTGTTTATTATTATTAAGTATTAATTGTGCCTGAAGCGGAGTTTGGACCTGGAAATGGCGAATGACGTCAGACTTATAGACCGGACAAGGAACTCTGGCCACTGAGTGTAGGCTTTAAATCCAGTATTTACCTCAGTTATCAATATGCCGGGTCTCCATGTGTAGTTACTGTAGAGGACACTGTAAAAGTTGTGATGAGTCGGTGGAGCTCAGGATATCGGGTATGGAGGACCACAAGAGCCACACACATCGAAATAAAGAATTTTATGCTTGAATATTGAATTGTAGAACAAATTATGCATTTTTAAATTCATTTACGAAGTCATATTTAAATTAGTAATGTTTGAATGAATAAAATAAAGTAATTTATTATTTAAAAATTTAATTAAAAATAGTGCTGTCAGCATTAATCTCGTTAAAATGACGTTAACGCCATAACTGAATTAACGTGGCAAATCTCCGTTAGCAGGTTAACGCGGATCGCCCCGTGCGTGGGGCTGCACGATGCAAACGCATTAACGAGCTAATTGCGCTAACGCGTTGACGGCGTGCAGCCCCACGCACGGGTTCATATTTACCTCAGTTAGGACAGTTATAGTTTGAAACTGATGACAATAAATGACAAGCTAGGGTAGAGAAACATTCTTTTATCATTCTTATATACAAATGAAAACAATACTTTAACTATTTTTCATGTGTATGTGTGTACTAAATATGTTTTAGTTTGGTTCATGTCCTGCTCACTAACAGAAAGGGCAGAGCATATGACCTCTGATACAAACTGAAAACAGGGTACAATCAAGATATTTTGGCCTTACTGTATGGGAGCTTTCCTATTGTACATCTTCATATTCAGTCTGTGGTTTGGGCACTTTGTGACTCTTTGTGTGCTCAAGACAACTACAACTGTACATCAAGGCAACTTTATCAGGGGTTACATCATGATTGACCATCCTGTGTAAAAACCCCAAAACCTTTAAGCTAGCCACTTTCAGTTTAAAGTAAAGAGAGATTCGCTACTTCCATACCTTTTTAAAAAAATACCTTTCATGTTTTCATTTAATTCAGTGAACAAGTTTCACAGTATAAGAGAAAGCTGAGCCGCCATGTTGGTCCAATTTAAAATATGGGAACCGACAGCCCATGAGACTGTCCTTGTCCAACCAGTAGCTAGATGCCTGCATGTTAATGGGAGGCTGTAGGATAGGGAGAACACATATCACTCATCTCTTGTAATGGATTCTAGTGGCACACCCATTCTGTATCCACTACTAGAAAGTAGCATGATCCCTTGCATCGAAAAGCACTCCTGTGGAAACACAATGCACAAACCTGACTTCTGTGCTCGCCAGCCACTAAACTCCATGATCAACCTCGCACAGGTCAGTTAGGTTATTGTTATTGAATCAGCTGTGAGGGCAGTCAGCAGGAGTTCACTGTCTGACTGACTGTTCTGTCATGTTAAGCTGATTTTGTATACGATTTTTTTAAGCCTATGGCCTGTCCAGGCTCACAGCGCTTTTTAAAGAGATTTTTAAGTCCTAGCTGTAACTTTTATCAAACATGTTTAACACCAATACTATGACAATATAGACTCCACAGAGAGATTGACAATGATATGAAAGTCAGACCAGGTTGTTTAGTTTCCTTTTTTAGGTTTACAGCCAAGATTACTGTATAGAGTTAACGTCAAGCAAGTGAAGAGAGCTTTCGAAGTAGCCATGTTCGCTGAAATTTGACCAGTGTTCAGATGGTCATCAGCTGTAGTTGTTCAATTATGTCAGAGTTCAAAGCATTTGATCATTCAGTCATTTGAGAATCTCTTGTTGGGTAAATATCCAGTGAGAAAAGGAGAAGATAGGGATGTAGTACTCTTTATAATGGTATGCCATCTGTTAGTTGCTCAATTAACACTAAAGACGTCAGCGACAGAAAAAAATATTACAAGGTCAGACATAGAGGCTCTCCAGTCACATTGTCGATCTGCAAATTAGGCTATATTTAAAAGTTCTCAGTTAACAAAAATGCACAGATGAACACTGACGCAAAACTAACTTCACACTGATAAGGGGAAAAGCACACACGAGCACAGACATCTATGGGACACACCGGGTCACTTACTCTGTCCTCTGCGCAGTATGTAAACACTTTCTGCCTCGTTGCCGCCATGTAAGTGCTGCGTGGGCCTAGGCACCAAGATCTGCCCGTCTGACTGCAGAGCAGCTGAAGAGACAGATGGACTGCTGAATTAGGAGTCTATTTATGTGCTATAAAGCTTTTAAAAGTAAGAGGCAACAAGTGCAGAGAGGCAAAATGTGAGTGAGAGAATGTCACTTTGGGAAGTGGCATTGGAGCTGTGAGTCCCAGTGCTGTGACTCAGTCCACAGGCCGAGGTTGCCTGTCATCTGCCTGTCTTTGTGTCATCCTTTTAGTCTTTCGTAATGGTCTGAAAATGCAGAAATGGCAGTACAGCAAATGTTGCTATCAGTCTTATTTGTTTTACACATGGACCCTAAAGCCTCTGGTATACTTGCTTCCAGGTAACAGTGGGAGCTTGGCTGTTTCGTTGTGTGCAGCCTGAACGATGAGTCTTACAAGAAGCATGCCCATGAGATACAATCAGGACAGCTAGTTTTTAACTACCCGTAAAATACTTTGGGAAATGTCCATCCTAATTTTCAGCTGTCAAAGGCAGCATATTTTCACATTTGATAGGAAAATTAAATATTTATTATCATTTACTTTAGAATAAAATCTCATATTACGTGTGTGTCGTGTATCTTAGCTTCACAGAAGGGTGGTAGTGAAATCAGACTATCAACAACAATGAAAGTCCCAAAAGATGATTGATAAATCAAACATCAGGAGACAAGAAGATACCAAGTTGATAAACTTATAAAGGAGAGAAAAAAATCAGACACGAAATTAGAAATGAGGATGGGAAAACAACGAAACTCAAAAGCAATAGACTACATGAGAAATAACCTTGAAATTAAAACGAACTAACTGAAAAATTCATGACATACACAGACATAAAAAGGTCAAATAAATAGGTAAAATACTATAAAAGTAGAAAAAAATGAAGGACATGAAGAACATGGTACACATTGTTGGTCATTTAGGATTCTCAAAGTAGGTATTCTTGTGTGGGTGAAGGAATTATTCTTTACCTTTGTATATTCATGTTTATCCTCTTTGGGGGCACAAAGTACAAAGGCCTGAACAAGCAGTGTGTGCATAAGCAAATGCATCATGAGTTCATCTTAGGAAGCCTGCATACAAGTGACAGTAACTGAGCATAATAACTTCACTTTATCTTCATCATATTTGCAAAAATGAATGAATAACATTAACCTAACTAACCTGTGTGAGGTTGATCACCGAGTTTAGTGGTGAATACAGAGTCTGTGGCAGCTTCAGTGTTTAGAGTCCCACAGTTGTTAGAGCCTGCACTACCACCTGGTGGTAGACTGGTATAACCTTACTGTACTGGTTAGATTTGAGGTATGGCCTCATACTGTTATGCGTTTTTTTTTCGGTATGTTTCATCTTCATCATTTGTGTCAGAAGAAAAGTCATATTTGCCCAAGTCTATGCTCCTTGGACAACTTTATAAAGACTGTTTCACTACATGTGATATGTTGCATTCTGATGCTGTGTTGCATTCTCATTTGAAACAATATTTACCTGAACATATAACAGAATTCTTAATTGCACCCACTGATTGTGCAGTTAAACTTCTGTGCTCATTAAAGATCCAAAAATGAGGCTCTTATTTTGATAAGGTTTCTGGGAATCGATTTTGTTCTTAAATACTGAACAGTATATGCATCAGAAGGTCTCCATCAACACTGATGTTCACTCACTGTTGCTGCGTCTACCACTGTCTTTTTCCCCTCAAATCAATGATGGACCATAGAAGCCCGTTCCATCGATGCAGGCATCTCTATTCAGACCGAAGTGGCCTGTGCTCCCATTACAGGTACCACAACAAGCTTGTATCATTGCATTGATGTAATCATAATGGGTCAAGAGTCCTGCGGGCTGTAGCCTCCCGCTCCCTTGGTGGTTGCTTCTTTATGTTGTGTTGATGTGAGTTCATGGTCTTTTGGCTGTAGCTCGGTGGATGACAGTGGTGCTTTGTGAGTGTATTTGGTGTTAATGCAGCATCTTACCGGCTTCCTTTACCTATAAGGCACTTGAGATATTTGTATTTGGATTATTGTTGTGAAGTTATCAGCTGTGCTCATGTTACTCGTTGCAATTAACCACCATCCTCATCCAGCACTGTTGTTATTCTGCTAAATGCCCTTTTCAAATCTCTCTTTTCTGTTCCATCCCCCTTTGCCTTGTTGTGAATCTGTACAGGGATGAATGGGAAAAGCATCCTGTCTGCAATAAGCCGACACACACCAGAGCACTCCAGTGTGATGAGCACAGCGGGTTCAGGAGCGACCACCTCCCCTTGTTCATCTCGTTCCTCTTCACAGCGTTCAGGGACAGGGGCCCACACGCCTGGGGGGCCACACCTATCACCCTGCACCCGAGTCAAAACCTTAGAAGGCAGCAGCAATGCCCTGACCCCTAACCCTGGTCCTGCCAAGTCACCAGTCTCCCCTAAGCTTTCACCAGGTAAGATCAGCCACAATACTGTTTTACTTCTTTTTGTTGGGCTTATAAAGTTGCCTCTCACCAGCGTGATTACAGCACAACAGATCATACTGGTATGAGTGGTAATCATGAGGCGTACAAGTGTGTCCTGGCAGGAAGCTAAAACTTATCAGGAAGTGAACACATCTGCTTCAGGGGTATGATACAAATATTTAAAAATCTGTGTCCCTTAGTCTTCCAGTTTTAAACTCCAAATAGCAGTTTAACAAGAAACTTGCTTATTTAAAAAACAAAACACATTTTAGTTAAATCTTCAGGGTTGTGGTCAAATATGAATTTTTGTTTAGGGGGTGTTTCAGCCAAATCACCCAGGAGTCTCTTAAATACCAGTGATAATAAGACATCATACTCTCTGAATGCCACAGGGAGGACTTTTTTCATTTCTTTGGTGGTTTATAAAAGGAAAAGTGATAATACTGTGCCACAGCTCCTCACAACCATATCATGAGTACAAAAAAAAATCATGTAGCCATCTGTTTTTAAAACATACAAATAATATAGTTTGTATTGTAAAATTGTGATTTAAAAAAATTATAAGAAAATCTCAAACTAAACAGTATTTAAAAAAACAAAACCTAAACAGCATACATTTTTACAGTATAATAAAAGAATTACCTCTGACTAGTGCAGAGAGACATGCAGATGTAAATGTTTCAGTTTAAATGATAAGTTAAATAGTGTTAGGATATTTGAGTCAACTTTAGCATCCTTTTAAGCACTTGAATGTGACAACATGTGGTTAGATTTTAGTAAAGACTGTTTCTTTAAAGTCTGTTACTGATTACACTGGGCTCAATAAAAGTGCAATGACAAGCAGCTCGCGCTGTTATACCGTAAATCATGTATTTCATACACAGGGGTTAAAGTGGAATTTAGCAGAGGGGGGAACACTGTGGTGGTGCAGCATGAGGAAAAGATTCACTTAAAAATAAGTAATGTAAAAGCTTGTATTGTAAACTCCAGTAGTTTTTACTTTGTGCACAGGCTGTGGTCTGCTGACCTGTGCTCCTGATTCTCTGCACTTTGTGGCTTTAGCCATTTGGGTTCAACAAGATACAAGCAAATATTTCATATGCTGTCATGGCTTTAAAAGCCCTATGCAGCATAATGCTAGTATAAAAGGCTTGGTGAGTGAATCTAATCAGCATCGATACCTTAAATATACTTTGATCTTTGCTTGATGGCTCTTGGTGTAAACTAATACAAAATGATCATACATTTTGATTTACAGGAGGCTTAATAAAAAATATAAAGAAAGAAAAAAAAGGAATGTATCATGTGTACATCTAATACCCAATTTTTTAAAAAAAAAATCCAAAACTATTTAAAGATGATTTCAGACATTAATTCCAGGTTATTGAACGTCACTTTCAGCTCAGTCCTTGGCTTTCACTTTCCTGTCCTGTCCTTCTTACATTAATGTCTATTGTCTCCCTGGAATAAGCTACCAAGATACAAAGTGTTATAAACTGCACTGGAAATGGGTTTGTGTTTGTTGATATTTGTTGAGCTGTATGAAAAGACAAGGAAATCATATGCTGTGTGAGAAACATTCTCACTCTAACTATATGATAAAGTACCACAAAACCAACTTTGACCACCATGAATGTATCAGAGGGGTGAGGAGAAAAAAGCAGTGCATTGAGGGTGTATCATTGTTGTATCATTGTTTTCTCAGTTCTTCCATCAGCTGGAAGCAACACCACACAAGAATGAGATGCAGCAGAGAAAAAATGAACTCACTTGACAGGATCCTGTATTGACCTGTCAGATTTAATTACTCATGTACTGGAACGCTGTTCCTCCACTTTAACCCCTTCTGTACAGCACAGTGCTGTAACCTTTTATGGTGTGAAACCACATAGTTATAGATTAGTCTATGTGCACTGTAAAATAACAGCCCTGGCTGATGGTATTTTACTGTAATGTAGTGTGGAACGTGTAGCTTAGTGTAGTGCAGATACTGTTAGCAGCACATTTCCTCATGAGCTGTCCTTTGCATCTTTTATAAGAAATAATTTTTTAATTTATTTGATCATCCATGGCTTAGCTCACAAACAGGTGAGGTGACAAATCAGGACAAAGCTTGTTGTCTGAAACCAGAAAAAAAAAAATCAGGATATAGATTCGAATCAGTGAATTCATGATGTACCCATATTTTATTTCAAAATTCCAGTTCTAAAACTAATGACTAAAAAATGAATTCAGCACATATATTGTGATATGTAAATCGCAACAGGGTTAAAGTATGCATCTCACATCATGGCCACAGTGCAAAACACAACAAATAGTTCTCCTTAATAATAATAATAATAATAATAATAATAATAATAATTAGAGCTAATAAAGCTACCTAATATAAGCAAATAAAATTAACTAAAACTAAACTAACTAATCAGATTTAATTGACAACAATATGTCCTCTCAATAATATGATTTATCACAGTTTTTGTATTAAAGTGTGTCATACTCAGACTCAGAATGCAGGTCAGTGAGTTTATTTACAGTCTTTCAAAAAAGAAAAAAACATCCACAGTCTCTATGCACAGTATCCAAGCCGACAGTCCAAGCAGTCTTTAGACTCGATAGCGAAACAGACTTTTCTCTCCAACTTACACTCACAAATCCTCCTTGAGGAAAACAAAGGGAGCCTTTTGATATCCAGATGAGGGGCAGGTCAGTTGATTGCCACAGATGTGCTAGGCCAGAAGGTGGGGGCCAAGAGGATCCCGCGTTTGAAAGGTGCGGTAACCACACAAAAGCACACAAACAGATAGGCAGAGAGAGGAGACAGAGAACCAAGGTGGAGAGAGAGAAAAACTGGCAGGAGTACCAGGAGAGGTGAAACCCAAAGAAAAAAAATCTTTTCACACCCAGTAGGTAAACTGAGGGCCACCATCCGACATGATATCCCAAAGGAATCCGATGCAGCTGGAAGACATGATTGGTCATTAGCTAGCCTGTCTCCAGTGTGGATTGCAGTTGGGTAAGGTGATGAAGTGGGCTGCTTTAGAAAACCAGTCAACAACAGTAAGGATGACTGTGTTACATGCTGAGGGGGAAAGGCCGGTGCTGAAGTCCAGGGGTATGTGGGACCAAGGTCACCTGAGCATAGGAACAGGTCAAAGGTATAGAGCATAAGCCTTGTTTTTGGGACAAACCTGGCAAGTAGACACATATTCCCAGCCATCTTTCTTGAGAGAGGGCCACCAGAAAAGACGGAGGAAGGTTATCATGTGGTCAGTGCAGAGATAGCAAATGAACCTGGCTGTATGCTCCCAGTGGATGATGTGAGCCAGAGGATGGTAAAAACAAATGATAGGTGGTCTGTTGCTCTGGTCTGGTTCCTCCTGTTGAACATTATGGATCAGGGAGTCGATCTCCAACATCAGAGTTCCAACAATACAGGAGGGTGGCAGAATCGTAGTCTCCTCTGCCGAGGCATCCGAGGGTAAGAACTGATGGGACAGGGCTTCGGGTTTGTCATTCCAGGAGCTGGGTCTAAGTGTGCAAAGAAAAGGCCCCACCTGCCCCGCCAGTATCCCCACCTTTACTGCCAGGCTCCATCTTTTAAACCCAGACCTTCCCACAATGTGGGGCCCGCCCCTAGGGGGGGCGCAGAGCCTTGGCACGGGGCGCGCGGGATGAAAAGGGGGAAAAAAAAACAAAACGCTTGGACACTGCTAGCACGGGCGCCTACAGAAACGCAAAGCGGGAGATGAAGCATCGCTGAATGTGTTTCCAAACCAACTTAATTCTAAGCCAAAGACTAGAAAATATGGTGAAGCATATCTTCCCTTTGGCTTCACCTGCACAAGTGCCGAGGTAGTTCTCCCCTGCAGAATTAGTTTTCCCTTCGTCTGGAGCAGCACTGGGCTGTTCAAATCACGGTCAAACAGTAACCCGCATTCCTAATTTTTAGTTCACAAACACTTGTTGTAATAACTAACTACTCCTGACATCTTGGAGATGTTAGCTCTTTATACAGTAAAGTTACAGTGGGATACAAATAAAATCAGGCTGATCCTGCCACGATTTGTCCCCCGATTCAAATCACGGACTAACAGTATCCCACAGTTGTTCATGTTTTTAAACCCATTTTGCACAGAGAGGCATTTTTTGAAAAATGTATTGATAGCAATGTTGACTAATATTACACAGGAAAAAAACAACTACACGTAAAATAATCACACCGTGACGCCTCTGCTTTTGTAAATGGAGGGACAGTAACTGCGTGTGTATGTAAGCGTGTAAAACCTGCAGATAGTCAGATTAACAGTATTTCGTCTCTATCTGCCATTCTGCAATTCATCTCATGTAAACAATGACGTGGCGCACAGCGTGACGTGAAAAAAGGCACATACCTTTGACGTTGTGTGACGAACTCTGTATTCCTCGTCCACACGGAAACGCAAAAAAGGAGTTTTAAAAAAAATCTCAGTTTTCGGTGATTCGAAACACCGTTTGTGTGGACGACACAGCTGCGTTTTCAAAAATACCCGCGTAGGTGCGGACGTAGCGTAAAAGAGTTAGTAGTTTATTTTATTACTACCTGTCATTTATTGCAGATTACTTCTATTTGCTTAATTGTTTACTAAATGTTTGAGGTGTGAAATAAACCGCAATGGAGCAAAATATGGGTGTGTGTGGTTGGAGGATGTGTGCGCGCGTGCACACTTTTCTTGTAAAACAAAGGGGGGCCCAGCAAAAGAAGTTTGGGAACCACTGTTTTAACCGGTGAGAACAGACATCAATGAAAATACCTTTTTTGCTAGTGTACAAGCACTCACCAGCCTGGATGCGCTTGAGATGTTTGACAGGAGATAGATGAACACAACCCAGCTACATGGGCTGTTCTCCACACTCTGTTTCCCCTTCCAAGTCTGCTCCTTGCTCTGAGGAAATGGTGCCAAGACTGGACGTTTTCTTGTGTGCAGGTCCCCGGGATTCGTAGTCCTTCCTCAGATGAAGTTCCCGCATCCAATTGTCCATCCTGATAAACGAAGTCAGTCTATCATTTCATCGACAGAGGCAGCCTCTTCAGCCAATATCCAAAAGTCCACTGAAAAATCATCCATACTCTGCTTACCTTGACGCAGGGAGAAGCTTTGTGTCTCGCCAGCTGAGCTTCCTGCTGAACGAGCCAGTGACAAGAACAGAGTTGAGTCCGCTGAGTCTGTTTATGGCTTGAGCTTGAGCAGGCAGGACTCAACCGCAGACTCAGAATGCAGTTCGGTGAACGCTTTCAATGTTGAAGTAACAGAATAAGCCATGTGTTTAGTGTGTGCTGCAATGTGGAATTGATTTAACTTGAATTGTTTCATCTAGGTGCTGGTAATCCAATTACATCCCCTCACATGGCTTCTGTTGCAGCTGTACAGCGAGGTGTTTTGTCCACCGGTTCTCCACTGTCTCAGGGACATGCACAGTGATTGGGGTTCTCCAAAGTGTCATACGAATGCTTAAATGTATAATTTACTGGTGCTTTTACTGTGTATGCTTAATGAGGAAACTCAGCGGAGTAGAAAGAGTGATGGGTGCTATGAGTAGCTTTGAAAGTTTATGTTGTACATCAACAGAGAGGACCCACTCTGAGAAGCATTTGTCACTGCGGAGGAGCCCATCACCTCAGCGAGCCTCCCCACTGCCGTCACCCCAGGTGGTCTTTCTCAAGGACATTGTCTGCTACCTTTCCCTGCTGGAGAGGGGGACGCCTGAAGACAAGTTGGAGTGTAAGTGACAGTGATGGAAGTGTGTTTGTGTGTGTGGGTGTGTGGGGAGTATGATAGAGGTGGGAGCAGCTGACATGTGCAGTGTGTGTGGCCTCTAAAGCTAGCCTGCTAGCTCAGGTTGACAGAAAGTAAGTAATAAGGCTATTCCCTCCATCTGGCTGTGTCAACACTGCCTTAGATACACCACTAACAGCTCCCTCAAAGGGCAGGTCAGTGACATGCTTAAGCATGTGCCCAATTGACTTCTTTACTGTCTGTGGCTATATTGGCACTGACTATCAAGGCTAATCTTCTAATTAGTTCCTTTGCTGCGGTACAGAAGAAGCACTTCTTTAACCCAGTGGCCATCTGGATAGAGTCCAGGAATGAATGTTTCAGCTTCCGAGAGCTACTAATTATCTGAGTCATCATGGGATCTCTGTTCTCTCCTTTCCCTCTAGTCATGTTCCGGCTGTACGACACAGACGGCAATGGGGTCCTGGACAGCTCGGTAAGTGGACTCCATTTGCTTTTGCATCTCCCTCATGTTTCCTCTCCGTCTCTCTCAGCCTCTCCCTGTCTTTCCGTCTCTGTGTTTTGTTCCTTCTCTTTTCACTTTGTACACAGCAGCTCCAAGAATAGTAACCTCGACATTCAGTGACAGCCTTGTGTTTACATAAGATCATCTGTAATGGATCTCTTAAGTTTAATATTAGCCACGTGTCACAGAGATCACATAAACAGACAGATACAGGTTATACAAAGAGGGAAATACATAAAACATTCAGACTTTGTTTTACTTTGCATTTCATGTTCGGAACAATTCCGATAACAATGGCTAAAAAACATGTTCAGGAAAAGACTGGTATTTGCTCCGTGCTTGAAATGAGAAGCTATTCTAAAAGCTAAAATGATAGTTTCTCTGTCCTGTAAGTTATGCTTTGTCTTTACATAGGAGCTGGATCGCATCATTAATCAGATGGTGCATGTGGCAGAGTATCTGGAGTGGGATTCAACAGAACTACGACCGGTGAGCAAACACACTCCCAGTTGCAATAAAGTCTGATGGTGAACAGAAAGAGAAACATCTATTGAGGCCTCTATGTGAATGTCTATGCATCCTTGATGTCTCCCAAAACCTAAGCTGACACCCATAAAGTGGATTTTAATTCCAAAAAGTAAAGTAAAGTTAAGACCCAGTGAGAACATATATCTAATTTTGTACACAATGTATAAAAACCACTTTATCCCACTTTATTCTGAGGTTTTCTGACATTTAGAGGGAATTATTGCACTAACTCTGCATTTCAGTTGTGTCATATTTGCCTGATCTAAAATCCACTGTGGTGTACAAAATTACAGACAAATACTTATGGGCTGAAGTGTACCTGTGTATCTTTAGATACTGAAAGAGATGATGGAAGAGATCGACTACGACCGAGATGGGACGGTCACCTTAGAGGAGTGGATCAGAGGAGGCCTCACAACCATCCCTTTACTTGTCCTGCTGGGCATGGATACGGTATGTGCTTGGAAAAGTGTATGTTTACTTTGCAGTGTTTGAAAGCATTTCTATACTATTCTGGTGTTTTTGTATTGAACTGTAGGGTTCTTACTCACCTACACGAACTGTTAAGGTTTTAGATTTTAGACCAGGGGTCGGCAACCTTTCTGATGATGAGTGCCATCTAAACTTTCCTCAGAAGTCAATGTGCCATATGATTGCATTAGCAATACATTTAATAACGCTCTATATTAACAGTTACACACTATATAGAACAACTTTATAGAATTATATTTGTTTGCAGATGTTGGCAGCTATCAGCGAATAGTTATCAGCTATTTTGAAACAAAAAAAGACACTTTTTATCCATAACAAGAACTCCATAACAGCAAATTAACTGTACAACAAAAAATACAAATGCTATTTATGGTCTCCTCACAACAATGATAAGAAAAATAAACTGGGCCAATATGGCATGTCTGTTAATACAGAGACACACATGTTAATGTGATCTCTGGTCTCCCACTCAGAGACACAGGTCTCCGAGTGTCCAGCATTCAGACGGCTACCTGAGGACTCATGTGAGAGAAAATCTGCTCACACAGATATGTAGAGCCAAATACTGTCAATAAGGCCTCTGCAATGTTCTGAAGACAGTTAAACTTGTCAGGTAGTGATGTCCAGCAGGTGAAAATGCACAGCTGTGGATTCCAGCTGCATTTGTATTTCTGCAAACTTTGACCCCCACAGAGTCAAGGTTTTTATTTCAATCAGCTGCATTTCAATGTCGCATTAACTCAGCCAGTTACTGCGAGACAAATCCAGCTGCTCATTAAAGCTTTCTGGTTTGATCAGTCTCGAGTCTACGAATGCTGATGCTGCGCTGAAGCATTTGAAGTGTCGAAATGTGGAAATTTCAACATCGCTTGAAAAAACTGCCAGCTAGCAACGTCCCTCTCACCAGTAGGCTAAGTTATTTTTAGCCAATTACAAGTTGAATCTGGTAGTTGGGGTTGTTAGCTAAGATACCGTCATTAAGAAGCGGCACAACTAATCTGTCTATGCAAGCTAATTTGCAATGTGCACCGCTGGCCCGGCCATTTGTTTTTTGATGCACCTTCTCAGATTAATTCACTGCGTGTCGTGCCCAGAGCTGGACTGGGACAGAAAATCGGGCATTTTGACTAAAGTCCGGCCCACCAGGTATTAAAGCTATAAAGCCTTGGAATGAAAACAAATGCTGTTGTGACAGTGATGTACACAGTCTTGTTGGTTTATGTATGATTTCTATACATTTTACATCAAATGAAAACTTTGGTTGTAAGATTCAGATAATTATTTACTAAAGCGAGACATTTTAAATAAGAATAAGAAAGAAAAGTATTTCTTTGTGCCCCCCTTTCCCTGTTAATGCCCTACCTGCCCCCCTGGCAAAACTTTGCTAGACCCGCCCCTGCACAGTTACCAGCTGTCAGCTACTTAGAAAAAGGATCCTGGTGTTATTTGTCTCTCAGAAACAGTTCATAACTTCCCTTCAACTCATTCATGTCACCTAAAAGGTAAACCTGTTTCTTCATCACCCGTTCAGCTCTGATGATTCAGTAAGGACATCTCCTGGTTTCATCTTCATGTTTCCCTCTCACCACATATCCAAACCGACATCATGACCAGCAGCTTTACAGCTGTGGCTCCAACAAACATCAGCTGATACTAGAAATTAATATTAAATAAATTCTAACAACAGCTTATCAAGCCTAAACGTGCTGCTGTTGTTTAGCGCGACATCCGCTGGGTTCCTCTTTCTGGCGCAAAGTGGGCAATAAACAAAGTGAAAAGCTGATCAGCTGATCATTGATCAGTTTCATGATTGAAGTAGCAACAGGAGATGGAGGGGGAAGAATGAGAGAAGAAGAGGCAGCTGCAGCGTGAAGACAGAATAACTCCAGCTTCTTTTCTTTCATTCTAGCTGAAGTACGGGACAAACTGTGTTCCTTTTCAGCTCAATACGAAAC